AAAAAAAAAAAAAATGCGTATTGTTCAGTCTCGCTAATAATCAGTGACATGCAAATTAAAACAATAAGATATTAGCCTTCACCTATTCAATGGTAAAGATTTTCAAGATTAATAATATCCAGTGTGGTGCCGGGCACGGTGGCTCACGCCTATAATCACAGCCCTTTGGGGGGCCAAGGTGAGCAGATCACCCTGAGGTCAGGAGTTAGAGACCAGTCCGGCCAACATGGTGAAATCCCATCTCTGCTAAAAATTACAAAAATTAGCCTGGCATGGTTGTGTGCACCTGTACTTGCAGCTACTCGGGAGGCTGAGGCAGGAGAATTGCTTGAACCCGGGAGGCGGAGCTTGCAGTGGGCCGAGATCGTGCCACTGGACTCCAGCCTGATGACAGAGTGAGATTTTGTCTCAAAAAATAATATAAAACAGAAAATAAAATAAAATGATAATATCCAGTGTAGGCAAAGATGGGGAAAGGGATATTCTTAGACCCTGTTGGCAGAAAGGTAATGGCACCAGCTTTGGGGATGGTCTTGGCAGCAAATATCAACATATAAATTACATATACTCTTTTTTCTCTTTTTAAATTTCGCAGCTACTGAACTGATACAGATACTCTTTAACCCAGCAATTTCTCTTCTAGTTTAATTATCCTAGAGAAATACTGGCTCATGAGCAAGAGATTGCAATTATAATACTGTTCGTTGCAGCATTGTTTGTAAAACGGAAACACTGCTAATAACATAAATGTCCTTTGGTAGAAAGAAAACTATGTGCATACTATTGAAGACTGGGCAGTAGTTTAAAAGAATGATGTAAATTTATATACACTTAAATGTAAAGCTCCCCATGACAGCATGAAGTGAAAAAGTGGCAGACCAATGTGCACAGGAAAATCCTGTTGGTGTACATTGTAAAACCTGTATGTTTGAATATATCTACACACACACACACACATTGATTTATTTATTTAGAGACAGAGTCTTACTCTGTCACCCAGGCTGGAGTGCAGTGAAGTGATTTCAGCTCACTGCAACCTCCGCCTCCCAGATTCAAGCAATTGTCCTGCCTCAGCCTCCCAAGTAGGGGGAACTACAGGTGTGCATCACCACACCAAGTTAATTATTTTTTTTTTTTTTGAGACGGAGTCTAGCACTGTTGCCGTGGCTATAGTGCAGTGGTGCGATCCTGGCTCACTGTGATCTCCGCCTCCCGGGTTCAAGCAATTTTCCTGCCTCAGCCTCCCGAGTAGCTAGGACTACAGGCGTACGCCACCACTCCCAGCTAATTTTTTTTGTATTTTTAGTAGAAATGGGCTTTCACCATGTTGGCCAGGATGGTCTTGATCTTCTGACTTCTTGATCCGCCCGCCTTGACCTCCCAAAGTGCTGGGATTACAGGCGTGAGCCACCCTACCCGGCCCAAATATTTATATTTATATGCGTATAAATGCATAGAAAAATGTCTGCTGGAAGGATGTCTAGCAAACTCTTAACAATGATTAGCCTAGAAAGTGGCTTGGAGTGGTAAGGATGGGTGAAGGAAGACTTCCTTTTACTCTGTGTACTTTGGAATGGTTTACATTTTTAAAACAAAAAGTTATTTACGAATTTTTTGTTTTTGTGTTTTGATGTCCATGGGATTCTGGAACAAAGGAATTACTGGCAGTTAGCTGACTTAGCCAAGTTGTCTCAGTGATGAGTGATGGGGGGGGACCCACACTGGGAAGGTTTACCTATTTACATATGTGCTATTCTCCTATTACCTGCATTAGATCTGCAACAGCTGTGCCTGGGTCAGGATCTGCAGGGGTGGGAGGGGTGGGGGGGGAGATGGCCAGGAAAGAATATGAGTTTGGTATTAGAAGACTCAGATGGAGACCCTGGTACCACCATGAGCTAGCGGAGCCTTTTCTTATGTCTATTTCACAAAAGTATTCGTGGTTGGGGGGGTGGGCAGGTGTGAGAATTAAATGAGATGATATCGTGTTATAAACCATGCTTAGGTGATTGCTAACGTTATCATAACACTGGATCCTGGACCACAAAACCTCAATTATTGCCCTGCATCTTGAAACGACTATTTCAAGTGCCCATCCCAGGTAACAAAGCCTTGCCCAGGACCTGGTCTGCAAGACAGGGCAGCTTCATCCCCGCAGCCTGCCCAGCTGACTGTTAGGAGCTGTGTTGAGAAGCATGCTGGAGACCAGTCGGCAAACACATCATAAACCCTGGGCGATGTCTGAAGTGGAGGCAGGAGGGGCAGGTGCCTGGCCATGCACGTGCCTCCTATTTACACAAGGCAGCCAGAGAGGCAGAGGCTGTCCCTCCCCTCCCCTCCCAGGAAATTGGTCCTTTATCTCGCTTTCTTTCTACCTTCCAGCCGTCCTCTTACTATCAACGGGTTGTATCTAATCCTTTCTGAGGTGTCAAACTCCCTATTATGTCTCCTAGGGATGTTTACATTTATTAAGGGCTTCTTAAAAACAGAAAGCCTTCAAAATCCCCCCCAAAATGACTCTTTAATGGTGGAATTAGAGCACAGTGAAAGGTAGTCATTGAAATATTTTTGGGTCGAGAGCTTTATCCTTAATTCTTCAATCACACTTCAGAGAGCCCTTCTATTTCTGCTCCTTTTAAAGTCAAAATGATACTCTGAGGTTTCAAAGGCGCAGTTTGATGACTCCTAGAAGGGCACCCCTCCCAGCCTAGGGTAGCCACACTGCCTACCCGGGTGACAGTTCAGGGAGGGTGGGGGATGAGTGGGGGAAACCCAGATGGAGGTCAGACAGCCCCAGCAAGTCTGGCCCGCACTCCTTTTTCTGGGGACAACCAGGTTCTCAGTTTATTCTTCTCACAAAGTACATCTCTTCCCTCCAGGCCTTCACAAACAAGAAGGTGTTTGGAGAATGGCAGCTTTTATGGGGCCCACCTGGGACGCAGGGCCCAGCCCTCCTTTCCTCCCTCTTTTACATACATAAAATAGTTCACCCTCTCAATGATGTCCTAATCTTGAAAT